TCTCTTGTTCTTTATTGTACAAATAATGTTTTTGTTCTAAAACATAGGCTAAAATTGTCTCTCAAAGGCCATAATAAGCTTCATGCCAAACGATCCGGTCCAAATTAGACACCGTATAAGTGTAGTCAATAACAACATTATTAAATACACATTCATTTTACATTAGAGTTGTTTCAAAAAATTACCACTTGTTTGAGTGTTGGAAAACTTTTGTTGATATTCAGTCTCTCTTTATTGTAACCATAGTTTTAGAAATTGGTTCGGACTGACAGATCTAACCTATTTAATTGAGAACCAACAATATGATTGATCTAAACTTCTTAATGGATTATAAATAGATTCAAATTGTCAACTTGTACATCATGGTGTCCAATGTGAGTTATACAGTGTTGCATGCACACACTTCCCAAAACATTGTTGAGTGTTGTTGGAAATATCCTTTTTGCAACTTAAAAAAACATCGAAAAAATAATAAACTTTGGCTCGAGATCTAGAATATTCAAATCCATGCATTTTTGGTATATGTAATAAGAATATCAACCACTAAGCCAACATTTTTTTTTTTTAAGGGCTAAGCCAACATTTTTAATATATGCATAAATATGAAATTATTTTAATACTATATCTTTAATTTAAATTAAATATTGAACACATTAATGATTACTAAACTAACATGTTCTCTTATTATATAATTGACTTACATAATTTATATAGTATATTTCCAAATTAAAATCCCATATTTAATTATATATAAATTTATGCGATTCAACTAGTTTATAATTTGGCAGTTCTATAAATATTATGTTGATTAGAGGTCCTCAAAATTGAATCAATCCAAACAAAAAATTGAAAATCGACAAAAAAAAAAAAAAAGAACTAATGAAAAATCTCAAACCAATGGTTCTTCTTAGTTTTTTAATTGGTAAACCACAAGATTCGATTCTTGGATTGAAATGTGAATCCGACACAAATCGAGTTGCACTTATATGTAAATATGTTTTTTCTTATAATGTATAACGTGGCTATATGATATTGACACATAGCATAAAAGGTGCTTTATAAAATTGTAAGCTATTAAATTGTAAGTTACTAAAATGTATTTTTTTAAATATTTTATTCAAAGGTATTATGAAGGGGCTAAATACATTATATAATTGGAAATTTTTAGTATTCATAAACTTTTAATTTTACTTAATTTTGATATGCGATTCTTAAAAAAAACTAATTTTTAAATAACAGAATTTTAAAACTGTAAAAATTAAATCAAACTGCAAAAAATTGATTTGGTTTTATTTATATTTTGTAATACATTCAAATGGAACAAAATTGAATCACCCTTAATTTTATTGTTTGGTTCAGATGGTTTTTAACTAAAAAATTGAACTAAATAACACAATGAACACCAGAAATATTGACTACAATTTTTTTGGGGTTTCCTTTGAGTTATTGTATTAATTTTATTAAAATTTATAAGTATTATATATATATATATATGACATTAATATATTTTTTAAAACATAATAAAGATTGAGTCATGTAATTCAATTAATGATTCATCGATTCGAACTTGACCTACTAACCTAATACTCAGACCGATTTAATGGCCGGTCTTGTTTTTATGACAATGATTGTAACTCAATTGCTTTGAAAAGTTCGATTAACAATTTGGAATACATATCAAAATGAATTTTGTCACAATGAAAGTTTTATTATAAATTAAGGTAAAGTTAATTTCGGACACCTTAAACTCCAATATTATCTAACACTAATTTTATCACATTGTAATAAATTCAGTATTTCGACCAACAAAATTATGACTACCATATTATTTGTTTTGGATTGAAGGTGAACCTTAATTTGTCCATCAAAATACAATCCAACTTTTTAAAGTCAACACTAAACACCATGAGTCATAAAAAAATTTAATGAGGTATAACAAAACTTGTCTCAACATAGAGTAAATTGATAGTATCATGTTTTAAAATAAATTACATTATTTATATGACAAGTCATACAATAGTTCATGTAATACTATTTTTAATTGGTCTTTTATTATCATGAAAAATTATTAGGTGATCCTCATTTTTCAATCACATGTTTTCTAATTAATTTCTATATAACATATAATCAAATGATAATACTTTTTCTTATAAATTTTCCTTTTTCATATCATTAATTACAAATGATATTTTAGATTCTTCTTTCTCCCTTTATTGTACAAATAATATTTCTATTCTAGAACATATAGGCCAAAATTGTCTCTCAAAGGCTTTAGGCTTCATGTCCGATGATCCAACTCATTTGAGACACCATATAAGTGTAGTCAATATCAACAATATCAAGTATTCATTCATTTTACATTAGGGTGTTTCAAAAAATTATTTGAGCATTAATTTTTTTTTTTACTAATATTCAACCTCCTTTTTTATTGTAACTAACTTGCATTGAAAAAATAAATATTTGTCAATTGATTGGAATCTATATCAAGAAAATTTTTATAACCATGAAAATTTTATTTCAAATTTAGCTAAAGTCAACAAAAACCTTGAACTCCAATATTATCTAATAATGATTTAGGGTTACATTATTTTTCAAAAGCCTTAGAATTTGTGTCAAACATCCAACCCATTTCATGTATGTTGGAAAACTTTTGCAAATATTCAACATCGTTCAATTTGAATCTCAATAAATAATAATTTTGTCACAATAAAAATTTGATGTCAAATTTGGTAAAAGTCAACTTTTAACACCTTAAACTCCAATATTAATATGTCATTATCACATTGAGATAAATTTAGTGTTCAAGTCGGCACTGCTAAAATATTCAACCAGTGATCTTATCTTTTTTATAATTTGTTTTAGCCCTATTTATGTTATTTCCTTTCCTAAAATTTTGTAGAATTTTTTTTTGTGAAAAATTTCATCCCTAATTTTAAAAATATACTAAATAAAATCTTGCAATGAAAATATATTTAGTGATTTTAAAATCTCACTTAACTTAGAGTTTTAAAGCATTTAGTCATGTGAATGTGGTTAACTGGATCAGTTAGTTTTCTGCTTCATGATAATTGCATGAGTGGATGCTTAAATTCTGAAAATTTCCCCAATAAGTAATATGTTATTTCACTATAAATGGTTGACCGTAATTTTAAAATAGGAAGTGATTCTCCTTTATCTTTTATTAACAAAATTGGCCATAAATTAATGTCTGTATATCATTCCTTCAACAAGTTTTTCCTTTAAATTTTCGTTATAACAGGAGGTATTTTAAACTTCGCTTTTTGTCAATTAAGTACAATTTGTCAAAATTGTGATGGTCACCATCACGTGTAGGACCCAAACACCACATGTAGAGTACCACACAGTACACGATTTCTCTTCTCTTTCAAATTAACTTTATAAAAAAAGAAAAATGTTTTCACACTCTTTTTGAGTTGTATATGTTCTCTAGTCGTAAAAATAAAATAAAATCCATATAACGAAAGAACTAGCTAGAAACATAAATAAAATGAATATAAATGATTTTTTTAATATATTTTTAATCTTTTAAGATAAATTTATTTCAAAATTAAAATTAATCTTTTTAACATTTATAATTTACAAAAAAAAATTATAGATTGAGATAATTAGATAGAATTAACTAAATTTGTTGTGATATTTTCGTTAAAAAATATTAATAAATAAAATTTATATTATAACTTTTATAATAGATAAATTTTATTTGATAATAAATTTATTAATAATATTTAAATATAAGAATTAAAATAATATTTTTTTTAACATAAACTTAAAAGAAAGTAAATTTAAACATTGAAAAAATAAATAAAGTTATCTTACATATGAAGAATTAAATATTTATATATCTTTTTAAAATGAGGGTCATTTGAGACATTACAAATGTGAACACTGTGAAAACTAAATAAGAAAATAAAATAATGGTCCTCTTTAATACAAGGGGACAGGCTCACATCACACTGACCTGTTAATCTAAATAAAACACATCATAGATTAACTTCAATGATTAAAGGTCAATGCAAGAGCCATGTTAATGGTCTGTTTGGTCATTTCAGCTCACAGTGTGGCCAATTGCCACTGAAATCCAAAATCCCAAAAATATCACCAAGGAAAAAGCATGTAAAAGATAATCTTCACCTTCACCCTGAGAAAATAAAAAAATAAAAATAAACCTAACATTTTTGAAAGTTAAAAAAAAAAAAAAAGTTAAAAAAAAAAAGAAAAAGAAAAAGCTGACCTACATGACACGGCCTTTAACTAAATTTAGCTGCACAGACAAAACCCAAGTTATTATTTCTATCGTCTGTTTGTGCACCTGTTTCAAAACACTCTTGTGCCATTAATCAATGTTTATTTTCTTCGTGTATTAAAAATAAATAATAAATACCCATATATATCTTTCTGTGCCACTTTATTATTACTGTATTACAGTGGGAGAAAACCCAGGTGCATGAATTTAGTAATTTACTTTCCCCTAGATGATGCCTTTACAAGATAGAGGATTCCACCTTGAATAAAAATAGAGTTTTAGTCTAACAATATTTATCATATTAATCAACTAAATTAGAGTTAATTTTATGTATTTTTTTTAAAAATATATTATATATTAAATAAGAATTATGATTCATATAATCTGTAAAATAAGTATTTAAGTTAATAACTTTATTTTTATAACTTTTTATGTTTGAATTACAATTGTTTACTCATTAAATTATTATAAAAGCCAATAAAACAAATATAAATAGAAATATTTAATTGTTGACCATCTATAATTTTATTTTACTCTGAAAATATACAAAATATTCATTTAAAAATAACCAAAAGTATAAAGAGAAAAAATTTATTATTTTCGTTATTTTTTGCATGTATAAAACCAATGGTTAAATAAAGAAAAAAATAAAATAAAATTCTTGAGATTAGTATTACCAGGAGGCAGATCCCACCCAAATAAATTAATAAATTCACCAAACATACACTCATATACACACCCATCAAAGAATTCACCACCCTTTTTCTTTCTCTTCTTCTCTTTTTTCCCCCACATATTATTTTTTTCCTCCTCTGTAATTGCCAAGGCTCTGTGCTGTTTTTGTAGAGAGAGGTAGATAGTCATAGAGAGACCCCAGAAAAAAATAAAGAGAGAGAATAGAGTCCTATGCTGGGGGACTCAGCAGTGTTGGGAACAGGAGGAGGAGGCTCTGGAGATGCAGCCACAGCAATTTCTGCTGTGGCTGCATCAGGAAGAGCTAGCGATAGTGGTGGTGGTGACAACAACAACGGTGACAGATCAAATTCTGGAGATGATGAAAGGGGAAGAGTTGAGGAAGGTGACAGGAGCTTTGGTGGAAACAGGTGGCCGAGGCAAGAGACTCTGGCTTTGTTGAAGATAAGGTCAGATATGGACGTGGCTTTTAGAGATGCAAGTGTAAAGGGTCCCTTGTGGGAAGAGGTTTCTAGGTGAGTCATTGAATTTTTTTGTTTTTGAGGTGGTTTTTTTTTTTTTTTTTTTTTTTTCACATGAATTAAGTACCACGGGTTTGAGTTTTACTTGGAGATCTGGAAAGTGAAAACTCTCAATTCTTGTTCAAGTTTTGTTCTTTAATTTCTCTGGAATGTGTTTCACTTTAATTTTATGTTTGTTGTTTTGTTTTGTTTCCTTCTCTCTCTCTCTTTCATTTCGATTTGTTTAATTCCCTTGTACTTTTCTTTTTGGTTAATTTCATTCTTAAAATATAATTTCCTTTGTTAACTATCCCACCCTTTTATTTTTAATTTTCTCTCCCGTGGACTTTAAAGTTGAACTGGTTGTGAAAATATGTAATAATTTGAATATGAGAAGCATCTGAGTTGGATATGTGATGTGATTTTTCTGACATTCATTTTGATACATGTTGTGTTTTCCAAATAAGTTGCCAACTTGAACTGAGTCTTCAAAAGCAACATTTTCTTCCTCCCTTATTTCATTGGGAATGAATGAAGTTAACTGCTAGATTGCACAATCTTCTCACTTGGGTTCATGTGTTTTCCATGAGAAGCATTTCCGTTTCAGTTTTCACCAATCCATGGTATTAGATATTAATTAATTAAAAACTTCACTCCAGTTACATCAATTTTGATATCATTATTATATTTTCTCCTTTAACTTCAATTCCCTTATTTTAAGCTCTTCAGTTACTTCCTTTTCCTCCATTTCCGTTCATGGGGACTTGAATTCCTGAGATATTTTTGTTTTTGGCCATTATCTTATGCTTCCATTGCCACCTATGCTATGAATTTGATGCGTTGAGATAAAGCCAGAAAGCTTGTTTTTTTACTTTGTCTTGTTTTGGGGGTTATTATTATCAGGAAACTGGCAGAGCTTGGCTACCACAGAAATGCCAAGAAGTGCAAAGAGAAATTCGAGAATGTTTACAAGTACCACAAGAGAACCAAAGAAGGGCGTAGTGGGAAATCAGAAGGCAAAACTTATCGCTTCTTTGATCAATTACAAGCCCTTGAAAACAACCCTGCAATTCAATCCCCAACACCATCTTCAAAGCCACCATCACAAACAACAACACCACTTCCAGCAACACCAGTTTCAATAGTGGTCACAACTACACCATCATCAATAATGCCACCACTGCCTTTGCCACCAGTGTCCAATAACACCACTGTTCCATCAACAACCACACTCCCTATGCCTCAAGCCATTCTCAACATAGCACCATCACCAGCACTAAACATCACAACCCCTTCCTACCCTTCATCAAACCCTACATATTTCCCACCACAAACACCAAACCCTACCAGTAACAACAACAATAACAACGCTCCCAACACCATCACCCCTCCCTCCTTCCCCACTATCCCAATGGAGCTCTTATCGAATTCGAGTTCTTCCTCGACTTCATCAGAGGGAACGATGGAGGGAGGGGGAGCGAGGAGGAAGAGGAAGAGAAAGTGGAAGGACTTCTTTGAGAGGCTGATGAAGGAAGTCATAGAGAAGCAGGAGGAGCTGCAAAGGAGGTTCTTGGAAGCCATTGAGAAGAGGGAGCAAGAGCGAGTGGTGAGGGAAGACGCATGGAGAATGCAAGAGATGCAAAGGATCAACAGGGAAAGGGAGATTCTAGCACAAGAGAGGTCCATTGCTGCAGCAAAAGACGCTGCTGTTATGACATTTTTGCAAAAGATAGCCGAACATCAGCAACAAGAAATTAACCTTGATGCCGCATTGAATAACAGCAACACTATTGCTCCACAGCAACCAGTGCCACAAGCAACTACAACACCAACAGCAACAACACCACAGCAAACACAAACAACAACAGTTCCTGAGGCCCCACCAGTGCAGCCCTTGGCCCTACAACCACAGCCACAACATCAGGTGCAGCAGCAACAACAACTAGTGGTGGCTAATGTTGAAAGCAATAAAGCTGATAACAACGGGGAGAATTTGATGATTGGGGCTAGCTCTTCAAGGTGGCCAAAAGTTGAGGTAGAAGCATTGATAAACCTGAGGACTACCCTCGACACAAAGTATCAAGAAAGTGGACCAAAAGGGCCATTGTGGGAGGAGATCTCAGCCTTGATGAGGAAAATGGGGTACAACAGGAAGGCCAAAAGGTGCAAAGAGAAGTGGGAGAACATCAACAAGTACTTCAAGAAAGTCAAGGAAAGCAACAAGAAGAGGCCTGAAGACTCCAAGACCTGTCCCTATTTTCACCAATTGGATGCTCTATACAGGGAGAAGAACAAAGTAGAGGGCCAAATGAAGCCTGAAAGCACCATGACGCCACTTATGGTGCTCCCAGAGCAACAATGGCCTCCTCAACAGCATGTGGTGCCACCTGAAGTGACCATGGGAGACGCTCAGAATGATCCCATGGACCGGCAGCACCACGAGGATGAGGAGGAAGACGATGACAAGGAAATTGGAGATGAAGATGAAGATGAAGACGAGGAAGGAGGTGGTAATTATGAGATAGTAGCAAGCAAGCCAGCTTCAGCTGGTGGTGATAATTCTGCTGAGTGAGATGAACAAATATTGACCATAAGGTGCATCAATTGGAGTATGGTGGGTCAAAAAGGGTGCACGGGGTTGTCGGAAAATAGTGATGTGGTGGTGGTGGTGGATGTGGATGGTGATGGGGTTGCATTGAAGATTTTGAAATGCACGTACTTCAGAATGACACATGGGTATAGGGGTAGCCAGTAGGGTGGGGGAATCTGGGTTGGAAGTACTTGGTACAATAGCAGCATATAGTCAGTAAGATTATATGTTTTTTTGTTTTGAGAAAAGAAATAATTAATTATTTTTTGAGCTAAATTAATAAGTTGATTAAGGAGATGGGAGGTTAAGATCATAAAGGTTCAGACTCTAGAGGTTAAACAGCATAAATGAATAAACAAGAAAGCTTGATTAATGTTATTGTACTAGTTTTTTTTTTTTTTTTCCTTTTGTAATTTCCATGTTCATGTTGATGTAAATGGGAGAAACGATTAATTGGGGGGTTTGTCTATTTTTTTTCTTTCGTTCATTTTTCCTTTTCAATTTTGTTACTCTTCAAATGTTGTCAATGATTCTTCTTTTGTTTTGCTCTTTCATTGTATCATCTTGTTTTGATGAACTACTTCGTTTATTTATTTTTCTTTTAATTTTTCTTCCTCCTCGCTAAAAACTCATTAGCAATTCTTCAAAAACGTACAAGGAGAGAATGATGGTCGAGTATAGGTTTTGGTCTAGAATTCTGAGATCTGAAAAAAAAAAAAAAAATGGAAATTAATAAGTAATAAATTTTGAGACAGAGAAAATAAAAAGGGAAGTTAATAGTGGAAAACATAATGGAAGAGAAAGAATAATAAAAGGGGCTTAAATTGTAGGGACAGTGACCGAAGGCTTTGTGTTGTAACAGGGCCCTTCCCGTAGCAGAAAATGCCAGCATCACACATGGAGTCATAAACCCTTGAAGGAGGGCCCACAGGAGGAATCTTTTGAGGTGTGAGCAACCTCATCACTGTGAGAAGAGCCTAAAACACTGCACACGGTAACTGTATTGTTTGCAGTGAACACAAAGATATGTGCTTCTCTTCATGAGTGTCAGTACTAAAAAAGCATTCAATGTTCATCTTCAACATGTATAGACTATTGGGTAAATCTTTTCTTCTCTCACTTTGCTTAATTTTTTTTCAAGCTAGCTTTCATCAGCATCTAGTGCTAATAATAACGTTTTTGTTGAAAATCAAAATATACACGCACATACACACACACACATATATATATATATATATATGAGAGGTCCAGAAATATATATATATGACCCAATTTAGACGACGATAAGAGTTACATATATATGAAACTAAAAGATAAAAAAGAATTATGATATTTTTGCTTACTGTTTGCATTATACCCAGAAAAACAAAGGTATATATGTGGTCGGATTTTGAAATGATGGAGGACAGAGATTATATATATTATGCTTTCGGTATATATACATATTTTTTTTGTACACTTGCTTTTGGTATATTTTATATGTACATCTGATGAGAGATGCTATACAAGGGAGGAATTTTCAATTTAAATAGTACAGATCGGTATTTTTCATATGGATTTGTGGGTATCCAATTCTGCTCCTTTTTTTTGTTGGTCTGATTTTCTAAGGTTATATTTTATTTTATTTCAAGTTTTACAGTAACCAATGCAAATTATAACCTCCCATTACAATGCAAGTGTCTATTATGCATAGACAAATTTAAGTTGTTTGAGGTTATATGGTTTCTTTTGATCTTACATAATGATTGGTGGTAGGTATCCGGTTCTCTATGAAAATTCTTGAATTAGCTTCTTCTTGTGTTTTAATAAATATATATAATACTCTCATGTTTTTATATATCTATCTATCTGTCTTTCTTTTAGAATCATTAAAGTTGTGTATAATTAATGTAAATTAAACCCTTCAATACTATTTCCACGTGTTAAAAGTCTATTATTCATAAGTTTAATTTGTGCCATCCAAATCTTCCTATGATCTGTCAAAATAATCTTTCTATGATAGAAAAATGTTAACTTCAAAGTTTTCATCATTTTTAGCTACATGTAATATCATTTTATCTGTTTTATAATTGATATTAATTTGTATTCCTTATAAGTTTTTCTAAAGAATAAACAAAGAAATAAAATAATTTTGTAAAACTAAGTTTCATAAAAAGAAAATAGTATGTTAATTTGGATTATCCTTATTTTAGTTTCAGAAATGAACTTTAAAATAAAAAGTGATAAATTACCCTAACTAAAACATCTCAAAACATAACTTTGAAGATTAAGCTAATTTTAGTTTATGAAAACTTAATTTTAATGATAAAACTTCTTTTTATAGTTTTTTAAATATATCAATGAATTTTGACTTCTTAGAAAAATATTAAAATTATTTAATAATTGTTATAAAATAATTTTTATAAAAAAGGTACATATACTTGTTATATTTTTAAAACATTTTTTAATTAAACAATTACTTATTCTTCTTTTAAACGAATTCAAACATCTGAACCCTAAATTACCAATGCAAAACTCTTGATTGCATTTCTACTGGCAGTATTATATTAATTAGTAGTGTATTTATAAGTTCCAAGAGCTATTATTCATTGATTGTTGAGTTTATTACAACCACGTGTGAATTACACATTATAATCCTTTTCTCTCTATATATATTTTGAAAAAGATAATCCTTATAAGTTATATGTGTTAATCACTAGCACATTCTGCGCAAAGAAAGGAAACGCAATTAGTAATGCAAGAAAGAAACATACCTTCTTCATATGATCTCAAAAGATAAAACAATAAATTAAGAAAATACCTCACATATTCATACTTTTCCCTTACTAATTACTAAATAGTTAGTTCAGCTTTTTTGATGGTTTAATAAGAAGGCATAGTCCTTTCTTTCTGACCGACTTCTAAAAGAGTAAAATATTCATTCGCTACTCTATACTCAAACACGGGTACATTAATGTTTGGCATTAATAAGTTCAATTATAATAATATGACAAAAGCTTGACTCCGTTATTAAATTTTACGTTTTGGAAAAATTACGGAATACTATATATATATAACACCGGTATAATTTTTACTAAGTATTACATCGCTCAATAACTTTATATTAAATGTGAATTTTGTAAATTCAATCGTTAAATTGAAAGTTTATATCTCTTAAATCATATATATAAAATTTTATATTAATCCAAGACGATTTGATACTTCATCTTTTTAAAAATAAAATTGACGTAATATATTCATTTCAAAATACACTAAAATATGAACACTTTGATTACTTTCAAGTTGTTGTTCAATTTTAACAAAATTTGATATACACGTATAAAGGGATATGAATTTTCAATCTAACAGTTGGGTTTACAAAATTCACAATTAATACAAATTTTATATTAATCCAAGATGATTTGATACTTCATTTTTTAAAAAACAAAATTGACGTAATATATTCATTTCAAAATACACTAAAATATGAACACTTTGATTACTTTCAAGTTGTTGTTCAATTTTAACAAAATTTGATATACACGTATAAAGGGATATGAATTTTCAATCTAACAGTTGGGTTTACAAAATTCACAATTAATATAAAGTTATTGAGTGGTGTAATCCTTAGTAAAAGTTATATCGATGTAATTATAACTCCCCTATATATATATATTATTTAAGCATATGATATATACAATGTTTTAAAATTGATAATCAGGAGGGGGAAGAAAGGTTTTCCCTAATTTTTAAAATATATCAAAATTATTTTTATAAAAAAATTGTCCGCTCTAGAATTTATAACAAAAGATACTATAAATTGATAGATAAAAATTATCATGTTAATTTCACTAAAAGAAATGTTACATAGTGATATACAAAAAGTGTCACTATAAGTACAATATATGTAGGTATATGTCTATTTGACATATAGTTATACACAATTTTAGTGTTGATTTTAAATGAGATTTAATAGCATATTTCATATGTCATTATAGCCTATACACACACTTTTTTAATAATATATCAATATATATTGTAGTTATTATGTGGGTAAAAATAATTTTTAATGACATGTATAGTGTCACTATATGATATGTGTCACTATATGACAATTTTCTGGTAATGTTTACACTTAAAAATTAGAAAAATATATGTAAAATTGGTATATAATGTGATAGAAAGATAAATAAAAAATTATAAATTATAAGGAATTATTTATGATATTATAATATTTATATATAAGTGTTACATAAATTTCACCCTCTTCAAATCAGATTTTTGGCTTTGCCACCGCTAACAACAATATAAAAACTAATTTACATGAGATTTTTTTATTTTTTTTTAAGTTTATCAAATATTATTTTAATATTAACGAAAATTAATCTTAAAAACACCGGATCCACCTGTATCACAAGACAAACTTACAAACCATCCATGCTTTATATACCATATAGTTAAAAGCAAAATTATGTTAAAATCACATAGACATGCAACATGCAAAAATGATGAAAGAAGAATGAGAAAACATTCAAAAGGGGAAGGTAGGGGTTTACTGGCGCTGTTATATTCCAAATAATGCGTTTGGCAGATGGCAATGTTGCACATTTTGACTTGAGGGTACCCTACAAATTTGTCCATTGTGATGAAAATGGTGCCTTAATGATGTGCCCCCACAATATTGATTGCCATGCATTTACCACCTACGGATAGGAATAAATATTCTGTTACACGGCTACAGTAACGCTCCCCTCCTTCATAGAGACACATGCACGCAGAAAGTCTATGGATCCTATTCCTCTCTTGGAGCTACCTACCCAAAACATCACTCATATGCTCACAAATGACTTATCCAGAGTTAATTAATTAATTAAGCTTATCAATTCAATGCATGCCATTAATTAAGATCACGAGCTTAATGAAGCACACAAATCAATCTGTTCTTGTTGACAAAATGGCAATTTGAATGTGGACCCCACTCCAAGTCTTCTAGCATAGGAAAGTGACTTGGTATTTTTTTTTTAATTTCTAACTTGAGATCTAGAGTTGCACCTTTGTCTGAAAAGCCTAGACTTCATAAACTAGTGCACTCCAAACTATATATACACTTTACTTCTCTAATATGTGAGATTGTGAGGTGGCTTCTGCTTTTCGACATTACCTCACACTCAAGTAGGTTATTTTGTATTTACCTGTTTATGATTTTTTTATATATATAATCATCTATTAATATGATATATTTACGGTAAAAAAACAAAAAGAAAAAAAAGTAAGTAATGACTAATTTTTATTGAAAATTATGAGTGCTACAAAATAAGTATTTGTTTGTAATGAAAATTATTTTTTATTCAAAATCAGAATTCGAAGAGTCTATTATTTGTGTCAATCAGAAGTGATAGACCTAATTATGACTTATCCACAACCTTTTAGTTAATTTGAATTTGTACTCAAGTTTTAAGTTCCAAAGGTCACCTATCAACTAAAATTTGTTAGTATAAGTGACTTTGACATTTGTGTTTTTTTACTAGAGTGTGGTTTAATTTTTGGT